ACATCCCTAAGGGGGCAAAACTGTTCCTCACATCCCCAAGGGAACAAAACTGTTCCTCACATCCCTAAGGGGAGTAAAACTGTTCCTGACATCCCTAAAGGGGAACAAAACTATTCCTCACATCCCCAAGGGAGCAAAACTGTTCCTCACATCCCCAAGGGGAACAAAACTGTTCCTCACATCCCCAAGGGAGCAAAACTGTTCCTGACACCCCTAAGGGAGCAAAACTGCTCCTCAAACCCCTAAGGGGGCAAAACTGTTCCTGACATCCCCAAGGGGGCAAAACTGTTCCTCAAACCCCCAAGAGAACGAAACTGTTCCTCACATCCCCAAGGGAGCAAAACTGTTCCTCACATCCCTAGGGGAACAAAATTGTCCCTCACATCCCTAAGGGGAACAAAACTGTTCCTCACATCCCTAAGGGGGCAAAACTGTTCCTCAAACCCCTAAGGGGAACAAAACTGTTCCTCACATCCCTAAGGGGGCAAAACTGTTCCTGACACCCCTAAGGGGAACAAAACTGTTCCTCACATCCCTAAGGGGAACAAAACTGTTCCTCACATCCCCAGGGGGAACAAAACTGTTCCTCACACTCCTAAGGGAGCAAAACTGTCCCTCACATCCCCAAGGGCACAAAACTGTCCCTCACATCCCCAAGGGGGCAAAACTGTCCCTCACATCCCCAAGGGGGCAAAACTGTCCCTCACATCCCCAAGGGAATCCCATCCTTTGTTTGCACAGCCTTTGGGAAACCAGCTCCAGCAGTAAAATCACCCAATAGATCAGGGCAGGAGGAGGAGGCTGCAGGGGAACCCTCCAGGAGCTCCTTTGCTGCTGCCATCAGGAGTCCCTGACACGCTGATCCCTCCAGGTCACTCGGGGATGGATCAGGGCTCCCAGCACAGCTGGTTCTTGCAGCACAAACAAACAAAACAAGCCTGAGAAGTGTGAGAAACACCCTCAGCACCAGCAAAAACCCAGCCCAGGGCGTCCAAACAACCAGAGCTGAGGGGGAGAGGCAGAGGGAAAGTGCAGGTGAGGCTGGAGCTCAAAGGGTAAAAAATAAATAAATTATTATTTATTATTCAATACTGGAAAATAATGGGGAGGAAAAGAGGGTAGATTGAAACTGGATATTGGGGAGGAATTCTTCCCTGTGAGGGAGGACAGGGATGGAATTCCCAGAGGAGCTGCAGCAGGCTGAGCACCCGGGGACAGCAGGAGGTGGCCCTGCCCTGGGGTGGCCCCGGGGGATTTTAAGGTCCCTTCCCACCCCAACCATGCTGGGATTCTGTGAGCCCATCAGCCTCAGGGGTTGTGCAAGTGTCTGCAGCAAACAATTCCCCAAATTACGACATTTTCAGTTTCTCTTTGGGAGGAAATGACTCTCTGAAGGCAGACAGGAGAACCTCAGGGCCCGAGCTGCCCGGGTGCTCCTTCTGCACCTGCAGAAAAACCTGACCTGCCCGAGGCTGGAACTGTGCCCCAGGAAGTGCCATGGAGGAAAAGCTTCGCTCCTTTTCTGCAGGATAAAGTGAAAGAGCTGCCACGACACAGCGAAAGAGCCGAGCTGTTACTGGATTACAGCACCACAAGGAAACAAAACCTCTTTAGGGATGAAAATCTCCCTTTTTGGGGTCAGCCGTCCCCTTTGCCCACAGCAGGCAGGTGGAGCAGGGTGAGTGCCCGGGCCGGAGCAGATCCCTGCGGGGTTTTGCTGTGCCCCAGCACACAGGGGAGCCTGGCCGGGCTCCAGCGTTGAAATCCAGGGATTTCCCCGCTCCCGGGCTGGGGATTGGGGATGGTCCCGGCCCGGCCCCGCCGCAGCTCCCGGAGCTTTTCCCGCAGAGCGCCTCCCCCTCCAGGAAACCGGCCCCGCTTTCATTTCTGCTCGGCTCTCCCGCCGAGGAAAGAGCTGCACAACTGCGGAGGGACAACACCCAGAGCCGTGCCAGGAGCGGGCACAACCCCCTGAGCTGCCTGTGCCACGCTCAGGGTGGGCACCAACCCCACAGCACGGGGACATCCCCAGTCTGTGAGCCGGTGCTGCAGGGACAGAGCCAGAGGGGAAACAGGGCAAGAAAACCGGGAATATTCCCTCCGAGTGCTTGCAACACTGGCAGGAGCTGCAAAAGCCAAAGCATTTCCTCTCCTCTGCCCTTTCTACTCTTTCAGGGAGCCCTGGATGAGAAGGAGAAGGGATTGCAACATCTCATGATTCATCGAGGCAGCTCGGCTTTTCCCGGCTTTCCCTCTTCTTTTGAAGGCCCCACAGCAACAAAGCGGCAGGGCAGAGCCAGGAATTATCCTTCAGGATGATTCCCACACTCTGCAGACACTGGGAAGCCTTCCCTGAGTGTGCTCGAGCATCAGCAGCTCCAAAATCCACTGGGCAGCTCCTCCTCAAACACCCTGACCCCACCAAAGCCACTCACCCATCCCGGCGTGGCCCCATCCCAGCCGCTCTTCCCTCCTGAGCTGGGATCCCAAAGCTCCGAGAGGGAAAAGCTCCCAGGGAGGCCCTGATCCCAGTTCCTGAGCTGGGATCCCAAAGCTCCGGGAGGGAAAAGCTCCCAGAGAGGCCCTGATCCCAGTTCCTGAGCTGGGATCCCAAAGCTCCGGGAGGGAAAAGCTCCCAGGGAGCTCCTGATCCCAGTTCCTGAGCTGGGATCCCAAAGCTCCAGGAGGGAAAAGCTCCCAGGGAGCCCCTGATCCCAGTTCCTGAGCTGGGATCCCAAAGCTCCAGGAGGGAAAAGCTCCCAGGAAGGCCCTGATCCCAGTTCCTGAGCTGGGATCCCAAAGCTCCGGGAGGGAAAGGCTCCAAGGGAGGCCCTGATCGCAGTGCCAGGGATGCCAGCAGGGCTCTGGTGGCACCGGGCTGGCGTCTCCCGGTCCAGGGAGCAGCTCCGGGGCTGTCACCTCTGCACCAGCGCTGTGCAAAGCCCCCGGGGCTGCGGGACAGCCCCAGAGCCAGCGCGGATTTGGGGGTGACACCTCGGGGACTGCCCGGCGCCTTCCCTGCCCCGGGAACCTCGGGCACCCCAGCATTCCATGGACACTTCACCCGTCTGCACCCCAACATTCCATGGACACTTCACCCATCTGCACCCCAACATTCCATGGACACTTTGCCCGTCTGCACCCCAGCATTCCATGGACACTCTGCCCATGTGCACCCCAGCATTCCATGGACACTTCACCCGTCTGCACCCCAGCATTCCATGGACACTCTGCCCATTTGCACCCCAACATTCCATGGACACTTCGCCCATCTGCACCCCAACATTCCATGGACACTTTGCCTGTCTGTATCCCAGCATTCCATGGACACTTTGCCCATCTGCACCCCAACATTCCATGGACACTTGGCCCATCTGCACCCCAACATTCCATGGACACTCTGCCTGTCTGTATCCCAGCATTCCATGGACACTTTGCCCATCTGCACCCCAGCATTCCATGGACACTTCACCCATCTGCACCCCAGCATTCCATGGACACTTTCCCTCATGTGCACCCCAACACTCCATGGACACTTCACCCGTCTGCACCCCAAGATCCCTTACACATCCCCACCTTTCCTGCACCCCAACATCCCCTCCCCGCTCTCCCCCCCTTGCACCCCAATTTCTTGCAGATTTTCCTCCCTTGCGCCCCAAAAACTCTTACACATCCCTTAGACCCCAACAACCCCCTGAACCCCCAGCACTCCTTTCACCCCAAAGACTCCTTACACACTTCCCCTTTGCACCCCAACAACCCCTTGCTCACCCTTTACACCTCCCCTCTTCTTGCACCCCAAAACCTCTGGCACACCCTTCTGTTCTCTCCCCTCCTTGCACCCCAACAACCCCTTGCACACCTCTTACACTCCCCCCTTGCACCCCAATAACTGCTTGCACACTCCACTCTTCCACCCCAAAGAAACCTGACACCCCAAAACCCCTTGCACACCTCTCACACTGCCCCTCCCTTGCACCTCAGAAGTCCCTGCACCCCAATAACGCTTGCACACTCCCCTCTTGCAGCCCAAAGATGCACCCCTAGCACTTCTTGCACCCCAAAACCCCTCGCACGCCTCTCACACTCCCCTTTCCCTGCACCCCAATAATGCTTGCACACCTCTAACACTCCCCTCCTTGCACCCCAATAACGCTTGCACACTCCCCTCTTGCACCCCCAACACTTCTGCCACCCCAAAACTCCTCTCCCTGCCCCTCACAAGTTCTTGGACCCCCAAAACCCCTCACACACCTCTCACACTCCCTTCTCCCTTGCAGCCCACAAGTTCCTGGGTCCCAATAACGCTTGCACACCTCTTACACTCCCCTCTCCCTGCACCCCAAAAAAACCTTGCACCCCCAAAACCCCTCGCACACTCCTCACACTGCCCCTCCCTTGCACCCCACAAGTGCCTGCACCCCAATAACTGCCTGCACACCTCTCACACTCCTCTCTCCCTGCACCCCAATAACTGCCTGCACACCCCTCACACTCCCTGTCCCTGCATCCCAGGAGTCCCTGCACCCCAATAACGCTTACACACCTCTAACACTCCCCTCTCCCTGCACCCCACAAGTTCTTGGACCCCAATAACCGCTTGCACGCTCCCCCCTTGCACCCCAAAGAAACCTTGCACCCCCAGCACTTCTGGAACCCCAAAACCCCTCGCACTCCCTCTCCCTGCACCCCACAAGTTCCTGCACCCCAAAACCCCTCGCACACCTCTCACACTCCCCTCCCTTGCACCCCAGGAGTTCCTGCGCCCCAGTAACTGCCTGTCACACTCCCTCTCCCTGCACCCCAATAACCGCTCGCACTCTCCCCTCTCCCTGTCCCCCCGAACGCTCCGCTCCCCTCGCCGCTGCCCCGCTCCCCTCGCCGCTGTCCCGCTCCCTCAGCATCCCTCGGCCGCCCCTCCCGTGTCCCCCCGGCCCATCCCGGACCGCCCGCCCCCCCCGTGCGCGGCTCCCCCGGCGCTCGCCGCGTTCCCCGCGTACCTTGACCGAGTCCACGGGGTACATGATCGTGTGCTCCATGATCCCCGCCACGGCCCCGGCCACCATGTGCGTGCCGAGCGCGACGCCGCTGGGCAGGCTCTCGTACTCCTCGCTGTCCGCCAGCCCGGCCCCGGCGGCGGCGGGGGGCCCGGGGCCCGGCGGGGCGGCGGCGCTGCCCGCCATGGCACAGCCCAGCTCCATCCGCCGGCACCGGGGCCGCGGGCCGGGCTGGGACACCGGTACCGGGGGGGGGGCTGAGGGGGGGCACTGGGACCGCGCGCCGCCCAACCGCCTTTAAAGCTGCGCTTGCCACGCCCATCCCAGACTCACCAATCAGCGTGGCGCGCATTCGTGACATCACTGGGCGGGAAAGTGATTGGCAGGAATTTTAACCAATGGAAAGTGAGAAGCGAGAAGCCGAGGGCTGTGATTGGCTGTAGTAGTGGAGGATGGGCGGGGCGTAGCCGTGAGGGCGGGTGCGCTGTGGCGGCGCCGTGAGGGGGACGCGGTGGTGGAGCTGTAACTGTCACCTGGAGCGGCCGGCGCGGTGTCACACCGAGCCAAGGGCGGCGGTTTGTGTCCGCCTGAGGGGGAAAGGTGTGCTAACCCCGCGGTGCTGCCACGGGGAAAGCTGGGGCCGAGCAAAGGGAAAGGTGTGCTGACTCCGCGGTGCCGCCACAGGGAAAGCTGGGGGCGAGCAAAGGGAGATGGAGCCCTCCTGTTGTCGGAGCGGGTTTTAGTCACTGTTGGATGGTGGCACGGCTGGGACTCCCGGGGTGTCACCTCTGCACGTCCCCCGGCAGAGCGGGAGTGCCCCTCAGGGCTCGCACCAAGTCCTTGTGCCGGGACGGGCACCCTCGTGCCAGGGTGTCCCCCTGCAGTGACCCCCGGTGGAGCCGGGCAAGGTGCAGTTAGACCTGGAGATGGAGATTCTCTGGGCAAAGGGGCTGTGTTCCCTGCAGGGACCCCAAAGCAGCCCCAAAGTGTCCCCAAAGCAGCCCAAATTGTACCCAAACAGCCCCAAATTGTCCCCAAAGCAGCCCCAAAGAAGCCCTAAATTGTGTCCAAAGCAGCCCCAAACTGTCCCCAAAGCAGCCCCAGATTTTGCCCAAAGCAGCCCAAGTTGTGCCCAAGCCAGCCCCAAATTGTCCCCAAAGCAGCTCCAAAGAAGCCCTAAATTGTGTCCAAAGCAGCCCCAAAGTGTCCCCAAAATAGCCCCAAATTGTGCCCAAACCAGCCCCAAACCAGCTCCAAATTGTGCCTGAAACAGCCCTAAATTGTGGCCAAAGCAGCTCAAAATTGACCCCAAAACAGCCCTAGATCTTCTCCAAAGCAGTCCTAAACTGTCCCCAAAGCAGCTCCAGATTGTCCCCAAAGCAGCTCCAGGTTGTCCCCAAAGCAGTCCTAAATTGTCCCCAAAACAGCCCCAAATTGTCCCCAAAACAGCCCCAAATTGTGCCCAAAACAGCCCCAAATTGTCCCCAAAGCAGCCCCAGATTGTCCCCAAAGGAGCCCCAGATTGTCCCCAAAACAGCCCCAAAGTGTCCCCAAAACAGCCCCAAAGTGTCCCCAAAACAGCCCCAAATTGTGCCCAAAACAGCCCCAAATTGTCCCCAAAGCAGCCCCAGGTTGTCCCCAAAACAGCCCCAAATTGTGCCCAAAGCAGCCCCAAATTGTCCCCAAAACAGCCCCAAATTGTCCCCAAAGCAGCCCCAGATTGTCCCCAAAGCAGCTCCAGATTGTCCCCAAAGCAGCCCCAAATTGTGCCCAAAGCAGCCCCAGGTTGTCCCCAAAGCAGGTCCAAATTGTCCCCAAAACAGCCCCAGGTTGTCCCCAAAACAGCCCCAGGTTGTCCCCAAGCCCAGCGGGGCTGTGCTCAGCTCCAGTGCTGCTGATCAGGGTTTGGCTGGGGCTTTGTTTGGGTGTTGTGGGCAGTGCTGGGGGTGTCTCTGTGCCCCCAGTCCCCCCCTGTGCTGCCACAGCCACTCCCCTGCCTGGGCTGTGCCTCCTGGAGGGGTTTGGAAACCTTCCTGCCCCTGCTTTCCTTGGAGAAGGGACCCACAGCATCCCCATCCCTCCTGCTGATCCCACTCCTTGTGTGGGGGAGCCATGAGCTCCCCTGGTGCCCCCACTCCCCAAAAATGCTTCTTTTCCTTCATATTTCCCATGATTTCCTTGTTCCACCACCAAACCAACCCGAGCCAGGTGAAGTTGGTGCTCTCCAGGAGGAGGAGGCAAAGTCTTTGTGTTCCAGGGAGCAGCCCTGACTTTTATTTCATTCCCTTCCAAAGGATAATTTGGAATTCGACCTTGCAGGGAAGGAGGTGTTGCATGAACTCAAATCAAGGTTAACCATTCCTGTGATACTGCAGGGCAATTTATTGCTGTGTGGGCCTTGGGAAGGAGGAAAACCCCCGGGAAAAAGCAGGAAAATGAAGTGTTGGGTTTGGAAATGAGCACGCACGAGGTGAGAAAATCCGGGTGTGGTCACATCGTGGGTTCCTGGAGAGGTGCTGGGGGCAGCACGAGCTGTTCTCCTTCCTCCTTGCCTTATTTGAGCAGGGCATTCTCTGTTCCCCGTGGGAACACGGAGCTGCTGCAGAAAATAACAATAAATGACATTGTCACGCATGGGACTCGCTCCTGATTGATTCTGGGGACCTGGCAGCATTTCCTGCACTTGGCAAAACACTTCTGCAGGGTGTGGGAGAGCTGGAGGTGACAGCCAGCTGCTGTCCCGGGCTGTCCCAGCCATCCCTGTGCACAGCTGAGAGCGTCAAACCCTTCAAGAACACAACATTCTACCCAGGAATTGCTCCAATCTCCCCTTCTTGCCCTCTGGAAGAAGCCATGGAATCATCACACCTTTATTTCCTTGGAGAGAGACCAAAGCTATGCTGCTGGCAGGGTTTGGCACCGTGTTTTCCATGAAATTACATTTAAATTCAACAACACAGAGCCACGATCCCCAGAGCAAAGCAGGCACGGGAACTTCCCTTGCTGTAATCCAAGGAAATAAAACTGGCAGGGACACATTTCCCAGCATTGCTCCACAGGCTTTATCGAGGTTTTCCTCTCCCTGAGCAAGAACTTTCATCTCCTTCCCGTGCCTCTGGCAGGGCAGGGAGGGGAATTAGAGTCACCTTAATGAGCCCTTTCTCCTGCCCTCGCAGGTGGAGCTCCCTGCTGATGACCTGGATCAGGCTGGGATTCTGCTTCCAGGTTACATTTTAACCCTGCAGCGGTGCCATGGAGAATCCTCCTGCTCCACAGCTCAGGTGCCACAGCAGAGGCTCAGCCTGAGGGGTTCCCCCGTGTTCCATGGGGTTATCCATGATTTCTGCCAGGGAAACGGGGCAGACAGGTGTGGGAAATAAATGTTTCAAGTTTGATAGAGGATTCCTATAATGTGCATAGGTTGTGGCCAGGAAAAGGAGGAAAAGGAGCAGCCTGTGGCTCTGGGATGGGTTTCTGCCATCCCTGGGCAAAAGGAGCTCAGCTTCCCTGGGAAAGCTCCCTGTGGGACCAGGCTTGTGCAAGGATTCCTGGCTCCTCCCTTGCCACCCTCTGCTCCCTGCATCCCATCCTGGAGCTCCCCAGCCTTGGGGGTCCCTGGGTGCTCCACGAGCCCCAAATTCCACGGGAGCAGGGAAACAGGGAAGGGCAGGGCTAAAATCACCTTTGGGCTGCAAAGCCTCAGCCTGGGAGCGTCCAGGGCCACTTGGACGGGCTGGGAGTGACCTGGGACAGTGGGAGGTGTCCCAGGGGTGGCACTGGATGGGAGTTAAGGTCCCTTCCCACCCAAACCATTCCAGGATTTTGGTTTCCCATCCCTCTGCAGGTGCTGCAGGAGCAGCCCTGGACACTGGGAATGTGCTGGGCAGGAGGGCCTGGAGGGACAGGAGCCAGGGAATGGCTTCCACTGCCAGAGGGCAGGGATGGGAGATGGGAAGGAATTCCTGAATTTGGGATGGAATTCCCAGAGCAGCTGGGGCTGGCCTTGGATCCCTGGCAGTGCCCAAGGCCAGGGACCCCAAATCAGCCCCAAATTGTGCCCAAAGCAGCCCTGGGACAGTGGGAGGTGTCCCTGCCAGGGCAGGGGTGGCACAGGATGGGCTCTAAGCTCCTTCCCACCCAAACCATTCCATGAATCCACAACTCTGTGATCCACACCCCAGCAAGTCACAGCAGAATCCCCCAAAGTTCACCCTCATCCCCAAACAAATCCAGGAATCAGCCACAGCCCCAAGGCTGGGGCAGCAGCTCCCTCCTGCAGCTGGAGCAGCCGTGGGACAGCAGGAACAGAGCCCAGAGCCAGGAATTGCAGGAGAAAGGAGGAACCCAGGCTCAGAGAGGAGCCCGGGCTCAGAGAGGAACCCAGGCTCAGAGAGGAACCCGGGCTCAGAGAGGAACCCGGGCTCAGAGGAGGAACCCAGGCTCAGAGAGGAACCCAGGCTCAGAGAGGAGCCCGGGCTCAGAGAGGAACCCGGGCTCAGAGAGGAGCCCGGGCAGGGGGAGGAACCCAGGCTCAGAGAGGAGCCCGGGCTCAGAGAGGAGGAACCCAGGCTCAGAGAGGAGCCCAGGCTCAGAGAGGAGCCCGGGCTCAGAGAGGAGGAACCCGGGCTCAGAGAGGAGCCCAGGCAGGGGGAGGAAGGCTCCTGCTGGCCTGGGGCAGCCCCCCAGCCCCTGGGCACCTCCCAGCTGATAAGGAGCACCTGGAGCTCCTTATCCAAGGCCTCCCCACTGTGCAGGAGTGCCAGAGGCAGGAGCTGCAGGCAGGTTGATAAGGCAGCAGTGCCCAGCTGGGAGGTGGGCACCCAAACTGGGCTTTATCTGCTGCATCCAGGGCTTGGTATTTACATCTTTGTCACTCTGCAAATCTCCAGCTTCTCTAACAGCTGAGCACCACCTGGCCCAGGGGGTTTATCCTCCCTACCAGCAGCACAGGGCTGCCCTGGCAGCTGCCCAAGCCACAGAGCAGCAAATTCAAAGTTATTTTGTTAAAAAAAAATTTAAAAATTGGTGTTCAGCATCAGATATTAGTGGTTTTCTTCCCCTGGCATGGAATTCCCAGAGGAGCTGTGGCTGCTCCATCCCTGGAAGTGTCCAAGGCCAGCCTGGAGCAGCCTGGGGTGGTGGAACCAACCAAACCATTCCATGATTTTAATGTGGAAAGGAAAAGGCCCTGGTTTATGGCATTCTATAAAGGCTTCAGAAGAGGGATCAGAGCGAACAGAAATGGTTGATTTGATTTTAATCTTATTTGTAGCAACAGCCAGCTGGAATTTTATGTCCTCACTGCTTTTTTTTGGCAAGTTTGGGTGCCAGATCCTCATAGGAAAGACAGATTCCATGTGGGAATAAATTTCCCATCCCAGGGACATAGACCAGCCCCTTTCAGCACATCCCTCCTTAAAAACACCCAAAATGCCCCAAAATACAAATTTAACCCTGAGTCTGCACCTCTTTCTTAGCCCCAAAATACAAATTTAACCCTGAGTCTGCACCTCTTTCCCAGCCCCATAATACAAATTTAACCCCAGGTCTGGAGCTCTTTTCCCAGCCCCAAAATACAAATTTAACCCTGAGTCTGCACCTCTTTCCCAGCCCCAAAATACAAATTTAACCCTGAGTCTGCACCTCTTTCCCAGCCCCATAATACAAATTTAACCCTGAGTCTGCACCTCTTTCTTAGCCCCAAAATACAAATTTAACCCCAGGTCTGCACCTCTTTCCCAGCCCCAAAATACAAATTTAACCCCAAGTCTGGAGCTCTTTCCCAGCCCCAAAATACAAATTTAACCCCAAGTCTGGAGCTCTTTCCCAGCCCCATCCTGAGCTCCAAGGCAGTGCCAGCCTCAGGAGATCCCTGGAAATGGCTCCAGCCTGGGTTCTCCTGGGAATGGAGAGCCCAGGGAGATTCATCTGCTTGGAAACCCAACGTGTCCCAGTTATTTTTTATCTTTATATTTGCAAACTCCAGAAATATAAACAAACAATTCTGTTTTGTCTTCGGGGTGGCCTGACCCACTTTGGGAGCAGCAGCTCCTGGTTTGAAGCCTCCATGAGGTGCTGCTGTTGGGATCAGTGCTGGGAAATCATGGAAAACAGGAATTCCTGCTCTGCCACAAGCTCAGGGTAGGGATTAAAGCATTTGAGGTGCTGCTGTTGGGATCAGTGCTGGGAAATCACGGAAAACAGGAATTCCTGCTCTGCCACAAGCTCAGGGTAGGCATTAAAGCATTTGAGGTGTTGGGATCAGTGCTGGGAAATCACAGAAAACAGGAATTCCTGCTCTGCTACAAGCTCAGGATAAGGATTAATACACTTGAGGTGTTGGGATCAGTGCTGGGAAATCATGGAAAACAGGAATTACGGCTCTGCCACAAGGTCAGGGTAGGGATTAATGCACTTTTTGGCCCCCAAAAAAGTGCTGGAGCCCATCAGAATGAAACCATTTGATGTTTTGAAAGTAGGCAGAGCAGGATCGTTCCTTTAACCACATTCCTGAACTTTCTCAGCACCCAAGAGGTGCTGGGATCAGTGTTGGAATGGGATCAGTGCTGGGAAATCATGGAAAACAGGAGTTCCTGCTCTGCCACAAGCTCAGGATAAGGATTAATGCACTTTTTAGTGCTGGAGCCCATCAGAATGAAACCATTTGATGTTTTGAATGTAGGCAGAGCAGGATCATTCCCAGATTTAGGAAGTTCAGGATCATTCCTGAACTTTCTCAGCACCCAAGAGGTGATGCCAGGGAGAGTCACCAGCAAAGAAAATTGGAGAGAGAATTGAGCCCTGATGTTCTCCAGGGGATTTTTCCAGCCCCAAACAATCCCAGGATGGGAAGAGGCAGCGCTGGAGCTCCAGCAGAGCCAGGCAGGGAGCTCAGCCCCTCTGACTTTGTGCAGCTTTGAGGGAAACGTGTGGACTGCAGGAATGGTGTTGGAATGGGATCAGTGCTGGAAAATCATGGAAAACAGGAATTCCTGCTCTGCCACAAGCTCAGGATAAGGATTAATGCACTTGAGGTGCTGCTGTTGGGATCAGTGCTGGGAAATCATGGAAAACAGGAATTCCTGCTCTGCTACAAGTTCAGGGTAAGGATGAATGCACTTTTTGGCCCCCAAAAAAGTGCTGGAGCCCATCAGAATGAAACAATTTGATGTTTTGAAAGTAGGCAGAGCAGGATCGTTCCTTTAACCACATTCCTGAACTTTCTCAGCACCCAAGAGGTGCTGGGATCAGTGTTGGAATGGGATCAGTGCTGGGAAATCATGGAAAACAGGAGTTCCTGCTCTGCCACAAGCTCAGGATAAGGATTAATACACTTGAGGTGTTGGGATCAGTGCTGGGAAATCACGGAAAACAGGAATTCCTGCTCTGCCACAAGCTCAGGTAAGGATTAATGCACTTTTTAGCCCCCAAAAAAGTGCTGGAGCCCATCAGAATGAAACCATTTGATGTTTTGAATGTAGGCAGAGCAGGATCATTCCCAGCTTTAACCACATTCCTGAACTTTCTCAGCACCCAAGAGGTGATGCCAGGGAGAGTCACCAGCAAAGAAAATTGGAGAGAATTGAGCCCTGATGTTCTCCAGGGGATTTTTCCAGCCCCAAACAATCCCAGGATGGGAAGAGGCAGCACTGGAGCTCCAGCCCCTCTGACTTTGTGCAGCTTTGAGGGAAACGTGTGGACTGCAGGAATGGTGTTGGAATGGGATTGGTGCTGGAAAATCATGGAAAACAGGAATTCCTGCTCTGCCACAAGCTCAGGTAGGGATTAAAGCATTTGAGGTGCTGCTGTTGGGATCAGGGCTGGGAAATCACGGAAAACAGGAATTCCTGCTCTGCCACAAGCTCAGGATAAGGATTAATACACTTGAGGTGTTGGGATCAGGGCTGGGAAATCACGGAAAACAGGAATTCCTGCTCTGCCACAAGCTCAGGATAAGGATTAATGCATTTGAGGTGTTGGGATCAGTGCTGGGAAATCATGGAAAACAGGAATTCCTGCTCTGCTACAAGTTCAGAGTAGGGATTAAAGCATTTGAGGTGCTGCTGTTGGGATCAGTGCTGGGAAATCATGGAAAACAGGAATTCCTGCTCTGCCACAAGCTCAGGATAAGGATTAATGCACTTTTTAGTGCTGGAGCCCATCAGAATGAAACAATTTGATGTTTTGAATGTAGGCAGAGCAGGATCATTCCCAGCTTTAACCACATTCCTGAACTTTCTCAGCACCCAAGAGGTGATGCCAGGGAGAGTCACCAGCAAACAGAACTGGAGAGAATTGAGCCCTGATGTTCTCCAGGGGATTTTTCCAGCCCCAAACCATCCCAGGATGGGAAGAGGCAGCGCTGGAGCTCCAGCCCCTCTGACTTTGTGCAGCTTTGAGGGAAAGGTGTGGACGGCAGGAATGGTGTTGGAATGGGATTGGTGCTGGAAAATCATGGAAAACAGGAATTCCAGCTCTGCCACAAGCTCAGGATAAGGATTAATGCACTTGAGGTGCTGCTGTTGGGATCAGGGCTGGGAAATCACAGAAAACAGGAATTCCTGCTCTGCTGCAAGCTCAGGGTAGGGATTAAAGCATTTGAGGTGCTGGTCTTGAGATCAGTGCTGGGAAATCATGGAAAACAGGAATTCCTGCTCTGCTACAAGCTCAGGATAAGGATTAATGCACTTGAGGTGCTGGGATCAGTGCTGGGAAATCATGGAAAACAGGAATTCCGGCTCTGCCACAAGCTCAGGGTAGGGATTAATGCACTTTTTAGCCCCCAGAAAAGTGCTGGAGCCCATCAGAATGAAACAATTTGATGTTTGGAATGTAGGCAGAGCAGGATCATTCCCAGATTTAGGAAGTTCAGGATCATTCCTGAACTTTCTCAGCACCCAAGAGGTGATGCCAGGGAGAGTCACCAGCAAAGAAAATTGGAAAGAATTGAACCCTGATGTTCTCCAGGGGATTTTTCCAGCCCCAAACCATCCCAGGATGGGAAGAGGCAGCGCTGGAGCTCCAGCCCCTCTGACTTTGTGCAGCTTTGAGGGAAAGGTGTGGACGGCAGGAATGGTGTTGGAATGGGATTGGTGCTGGAAAATCATGGAAAACAGGAATTCCTGCTCTGCCACAAGCTCAGGATAAGGATTAATACACTTGAGGTGTTGGGATCAGGGCTGGGAAATAATGGAAAACAGGAATTCCTGCTCTGCCACAAGCTCAGGGTAGGCATTAAAGCATTTGAGGTGCTGCTGTTGGGATCAGGGCTGGGAAATCACGGAAAACAGGAATTCCAGCTCTGCCACAAGCTCAGGTAGGGATTCATGGGGTTCTTTGCCCCCAGAAGTGCTGGAGCCCATCAGAATGAAACAATTGGGGCGTGTAGGCAGAGCAGGATCGTTCCCAGCTTTAACCACATTCCTGAACTTTCTCCTTTCTGCCTGAGTCACCCAGGGATCGGTTTCACCGCCGGGATTTTGTGTAGCGTCACCACAGCGTCACTCGCAAGAAAGAAACCAGAAAGAGCCAAGCCCTGGTGGTTCTCCGGGGGTTTTTTCCAGCCCCAAACCATCCCAGGATGGAAAAGGGC